AGAGCCTGATGCGGGGCTCGAACTCATGGACCGTGAGATCATGACCTGAGCCAAAGACAGCCGCTTAACTGACTGAGCTACCCAGGTGCCCTGAAAGGTCTTGGTTTTCTTGTGCTGACTTGGTTCTTGTTGTCAGGAACACAGCAAATCTGCCTGGCCTCAGTCCCATTTTGCTAATGGTGGGTGAAGGTGTGCGTGTGGGGTGGGGAGCTGAGTGGAACTGCCATCACCCCCAGGAAACTCCTGAGGGCAGGGTCCCTGCACACAGGCCTGTGTGTCCACGCCCTGAGGTGGCAGATACCGGGATGTTAATGAGGCAGCTGAATACCCAAACCAGCTTAGGAAAGAGAAGAATGTTCACTCACTTCTCTAAAAATAAGGTTTCTTATAAGCCTCACTAGCCTCACCCTACTGATGGTGGGAAGGAGAAAACCCACAGCTTTTAAGGGCATCAGAATTTTTTTTTTAATGTTTTATTTTTGAGAGAGAGAGAGAGAGAGAGAGCAGGGGAGGGGTGGAGAGATAGGGAGACAGAGAATCCCAAGCAGGCTCTGCGCTGGCAGCACAGAGCCCGACACTGGGGCTCAAACCCACACCTGTGAGATCACGACCTGAGCCGAAATCAAGAGTTGGATGCTCAACTGACTGAGCCAACCAGGTGCCCCGGGCATCGGAAGCTTTGTTGGTGAGTTTTTAGGAATGGCTTATTGCTTTGGAGAGCCACACATCCCAAAGGCTAGACTCGAGGGTAATCAGAGGCCTTCCATCTTTTTATGGGTCCAGATCCTGGAAACAGACTATCTGGTTTGAATCCTGGTTCCTCTGTGTACCAGCTTGATGGCCTTCAGTCTTTTTTTTTTTTTTTTTTAATTTTTTTTTTCAACGTTTATTTATTTTTGGGATAGAGAGAGACAGAGCATGAACGGGGGAGGGGCAGAGAGAGAGGGAGACACAGAATCGGAAACAGGCTCCAGGCTCTGAGCCATCAGCCCAGAGCCCGACGCGGGGCTCGAACTCACGGACCGCGAGATCGTGACCTGGCTGAAGTCGGACACTTAACCGACTGCGCCACCCAGGCGCCCCTGGCCTTCAGTCTTAACCGCTCTAAATTCCAGTTTCTCATCTGTAAAATGGGTATGATAGTACCAACCTCACTGGGTGTTATAAAGATTAAATGGGTGAATACATGCAAAGCATGTATGTGCCTGGCACATAATGAGGGTTGTGATGGTTTTTATTTCTCATTATACATGGCATTTCTTTGCCTGAAATGCCCTCTTCCTCAGCCTGGCCTAGTCATACATCTTGTTCTGGCACCCTGTGGGTCCCTTGCAGATGGTAAGCAGACACATGGGACCATTCCCCTGATTCTTCTCCATTCATGCAAGCTGAGAGTTGTATCCAAGGGTCCCACTCTGAGGCAAGTCCTGTTCCTACTTGGACACTGGAACGATTTGCTGTCCACGTCTCCCTGACTCACCTTAGGTGGTACTTTACGTAGCTGCTGTCAAACCAAATTCAAGGAGTGGGGGAGGGGGGATCACTGTCCCTGGGGATCTTGTAAACCAGTCTTAATTTTAAATGCGCCAGGCCTTCATCCTCAGCAAGGCCACGTGGCCAGTTTGGCAGTGACATAGTTCAAGCGCCAATCAAATGTTCACCTTTCTGAAGCCTTGCTCTTCTCTGGCTGTATCACAATGGTGCATGCCCACTAGAGAAAATAGATCCCTTCTACACACAGATCCTTCCTACACTAAACTTGGAGCTCCTTGGGTGCAGTGTCCATGTTCTATGCCTCCTCAGTCTGTAAAACCTAGTGCAGGGCTGAAAATATAGGAGGCACTTGATATGCTGGGCACGTAACTGGGATCACCAACAGTTTAGAAATTTGCTCTGCCTCAGGTGGAATGAGGTCCCAAAGCCTGAGCTTCACTCTTTTCTTTACTTCTGAGAGAGAGAGAGACAGAGAAAGAGCAGGGGAGGGGCGGAGAGAGGGAGAGAATCCCAAGCAGGCTCCGCACTGTCAGAATGGAGACTGATGTGGGGCTCGAACTCACAAAACCGTCAGATCATGACCTGAGTCGAGACCAATAGTCAGACACTTAACCCACTGAGCCACCCAGGTACCCCCTGGGCTTCAATCTTAAATCTACAACTCAGTCTCTTCCTAAACAGCAAGTTAGATAAAGAACTGACCTTTGTAAGGGGGGTTAACATTGCATTAGTCTGCATCTGAGGAGGGCAGGTTATAACGAAGCAAAGGAATAGAAAATGATCTCGGCTAAGCCTATCACTGCCTCCTATGTGAGCACCGTCCCAGCTCTGGGAACCAGGGAGGAAAGGAGCCCAAACCTGGTCCTCTGCTGCCCTCTTGTGTTGCTTATTAAGAAGTTCCTGCAGGCTTGTCCTGCAGGGCCTGGAAAACACCCACTATCCTGTATCTCATGCCACCCCAACCCATGGCTGGCAGTGTATTTGAGGATTAAAACTAGAAGCAAGAAAGAGAACTGTGCCTGCCATTAGTTCAGACTAGGAAACAGACCACTGTCTTCCTAGGCAAAAAAGCCATAGCCTCGAAAATAGCTTTCCCCTTTAGGAACCCTGAATGTGCCTCCTTCAAAGAGATCCTCAAAGGATCTCTTGTGGAGCAAGAGAAACACTGACGTGCTTCCGATTTCAAATTCTAAAGCTAGCAATTAAGGGCATGATTTTGCATCAAAATTCTAGCCACCCACCCACGCTCAGGGCAGTATCACCTCATTTGTGTTAGCAGGGTTAAATAATCTGTGTAAAAGCCCTGTGAATAATATCTGGCAGTTAGTGCTATATAAGCATTTAAAAAAGAACTCAACAATGTGGCAGAGGTCACAGCACAGTGGAAAAACATGACCCACGTATTACTAACCGGACATGGATTTGAGGTCTGGATCAGCAACTGGCTACAAGCCTCATACAAATTCTATCCGTATCTCAGTTCAAGTCCTGGACCCCTAATACCAGCCTCCTCAGTACTGTCTATAACCATCTAGCAAAGAAAATGATCAGTTCCCACATCTGCTTCCCTGAAGACCCAGCCCCTGTGGATTCAGAGGAAGCTGAGTATACATGTTGGTTTTGTTATGGTCCCTTCTCCAGTGATGGCGGCTCTGGGGGGAAAGAAACTAACAGGTTTCCAGTCAGCTCACCTCAGTCCTCTGATTGGGGCTGGCCTTTCCCTGTGGTTGTCCCTCACATTGTAATCGCTGCACCAAGGGCCTTTGTTCCTAACTCTGCCTTTCCCTTTTTCCTTCGGGCTTATAAACCTATTCAAAAAACAGGGAAGGTGGTGTGCAAGAAAGGACCGGGGCCTTATATTAAAGATTGCCTAAACTCACTTGTTGCCCTCCTGGCCAATCTAAACAGGACAAACCCACACCCAGGCAGGAAGATCCATGGCATTTATGGAAACCCGAGTAGTGCTCTCTGGTGGTCATGCCTGGAGTGGCAGCCAAAGTTGCCTTTAGTAGTGGTTGGGGCAACGTGTGTCAGAGGTAAGACTGTGGAGTCTGAGAGCTTTCAAATCCAGGCTCACTGTCTTATTCCTTCTTCAAACCCTCTTCTCCTTTGCTTTCTGGATACCACTTCCCTTGGATTCAGCTAAGTAGCCCCACTCTAAGCTGTCCTCTCTTGTTCCTTGAAGCTCAGTGGGGTGGCAGTGGAATGGAGCAGCAATGAAGAGAACACTGAAACAGGCTGGGCACTCCCATCCACCATGATCTCTGCCAGATCATCTTCCAAGGCATTACACAAGAGAAAGGCCTGGGCCCAGGATCTGCCTCCCCCCATGAAACCGCCCAAGGATACACAGACCTATCTGGTAGGGCCAGCACTGTTACAGAACACATGTTACTGATCACTCAGTGTCTATAGGGAAAAGGAAACGTTGGGGCATTTCTGCCTATTCGGGGGTGGCCATTTCAAGGCCAACAATGGCTGCTGGATTTCAAGTCATATCTAGAAAATAAAAGTCTCTCACAATCAGGGCTACAAATGACCCACTGGGGACTACAACCCTAGGTCACATTTGCACACTCCTCTACTGTGTGGGAACGAGAGAAAGGTGGGGGCCGGGACAGGGGGTGAAGCAGGGTCACCAACCCCAAGAGCCAATATGCTGAGTCCTTTGAGACCCCAAAAGCCTTAGACTAAGAGCCAACAAACCACACTGATGGATTGGTTCTTCCTTAGAATATGGAGGCCAGAATAGTCTCATTACATTCCAAAGTCCACTCCTCCCAGGACTGACCATCTCTTTAGTTTTCACACCTGTGAAATGTGGATACTTGCTGCCTACGTCACCCGGAGGAAGAGTGACCATGACAGGTAATCAGTCACTTAGCATTAAGGAACAAAATTCTGACTCTTGGTTATCAGTTCAGGTTTTGATCTCAGGGTCATGAGTTCAAGTCCTGTGTGGGGCTCCCTGCCCAGCAGACTCCACTTTTAGAAAGTCTTGCAAGAGCTGGACCAAGGGACTTCATAGTAGACAATCCTAGACCAACTCTAGCTTTCACTAAACTTGATATTCATTCTGTAAAAGGCACTGATGGTCTTGGCCTGTGGAGTCCTGGGAATCTGCTCTCTTCTCATAACCTGTAGAGCAGTATTTGTTCCTAATTATATACTTGCTAATTTGTTAGAGTAATTATGTTCTAATTATTACATAAACCTATGAATTGTGCAAAAATAATCTGTATAAAAACTAGATTGGGGGGGTGCCTGGATGGCTCAGTTAAGCGTCTGGCTCTTGGTTTTAGCTCAGGTTACGATCTCATGGTTTGTGGGTTCGAGCCCCACATTGGGCTCTATGCTGATACCACAGTGTGTGCTTGGGATTCTGTCTCCCTCTCTCTCTCTCTCTCTGCCCCTCCCACGCTTGCTATCTAGCTTTCCAAAAAATAAACTTAAAAATTAAGTTAAAAAAACAAAAACAAAAACAAAACTAGACTGGGGGAGGTTGGCTGTCTCAGTCAGTAGAGTTCATGACTTGATCTCGGGGTTGTGAGTTTGAGCCCCATGTTGGCTGTAGATTACTTAAAAAAAAAAAAAAAAGAAAAGCTGTTGAGTTGCTTACAAAACTTGCTATTAAACTAGGTATACTTGAAACTATAAATACAGACTGGAGGAAAAAAATACAGACTGGAGAAGAGTAAATTATCTAGAATTCTTGAGTCCCAATTCTTTCACAATGTCTAAATTCTTTATGCATTTAGGAAGAAGTCCAAGCTGGGGCACCTGGCTGGCTCACTCAGTAGAGCATGCCACTCTTGATCTTACTAGGGCTGTGAGTTTGAGCCCCATGTTGAGGGGTAGTTTACTTAAAAATAAAAAAAATTCCAAGCTAAAAATCGTAGGTAATGCATGACTATTGTGAATGAAGGTCCTTGCCTAATTGTCCTCAATTTTAGTTTATTAACTGAACGTACGACAGGCTAACTTAAAGGTACAACTTTTCATACTTAACTTTTTGATTGTCAAACTATTTGTCCCAATCATATATAAAAGGGGCTTTCTTTTAAGTTCCTGCTAGAATTTTGGTTCGCGAGAAAACACTGGCATGGGCCGACACAAGGAGTCAGTGCTTAAAGGTGCACTCCTCTTGAACTTCTCGTTGGGTAAGTTTTCCAGGAGCTAGGGGTGTAGGTGTTATG